ACGTTTATATATATATATATATACATGCATATATACATGTATATATATATATATATATATATGAATAAGCAAGCAAACAATAAAACAGAAAAACAAATAAACAAACAAACAAACAAATAATTAAGTAAATAACTAAATAAATAAATAAACAAACATAAACAAACATATAAATAAATAAGTAAATAAATATAAATAAATAACTAAATAAATAATAAACCCTTCTTACCCCAAGTAATTCAAACCGTGCGAATAGGCAAATGCGCAAAAGGCGAGGCTGCCGACACAACTAAACAAATATAACAAATGCAGCGGTAAAGACACCATAGTCCTGCGAACAAATAAACAAATAAACAAACAAACAAATAAATAAATAAATAAATAAATAAATAAATAAATAAATAAATGAGAGAGTGCTTTATTTTAGTTGTAGATAGGGGAGCGGAGATTCAAAACCCAAATATTTTCATATGCCTAAACCCTAAACCCTAAACCCTAAACCCTAAACCCTAAACCCTAAAACCCTAAACCCTAAACCCTAAACCCTAAACCTTAAACCCTAAACCCTAAACCCTAAACCCTAAACCCTAAAACCCTATTGCTACTACATCCCAACAAAGCCCCCAAACCCATCAACCCCAACCATCACAACCCTAAACCCTAAACCCCAAACCCTAAACCCTAAACCCTAAACCCTAAACCCTAAACCCTAAAGAAGCCCACCGAACAGGAAGCATAACATCGATGATGAGAGTATGAAAGAGAGCGGCAGAAGACAGCAAAATTAACTCCGCTGTACATGCATCTGCTGTTGTCACAGCCATGACTGCGGTGTCTGCTTCTGAAACCACAAACCCTCACAAACCCTCACAAACCCTCATAAACCCTCATAAACCCTAATTAACCCTAAGCAACACTGATATACTCTAATAAACCCTAATACACTCTAATGCACTCTAGTAAACCCTTATAGACAACCGTAAACCCTTTTTTAACCCTAACAAACCATAATAAACTTTAATAAAACCCTCATAAATCCTCATAACCCTTAATAAACCCTAACAAACCCTAATAAACCCTAATCAACCCTAATAACCCCTCAAACGAATCGCAGTGAGCCCATTAAAACAACCGCAGTGATCGTAAACCCTAAACCCTAAACCCTAAACCCTAAACCCTAAACCCTCAAGCAAACAAACCTGGGGTCTCGACAGCAACATATTCGCCGGGGAGTTTGTCGATTAGGGTTTCAATCTCAAAATGTTTTTGAGCTGCTTTGCATCCTAAACATTCTTTGTTGTGGTCTTGAGAAGTAAAGAGAACGACCGCAAATAAACACGCAACGCGACTCAGAAAGGCCTGAACCACAAACCACAAACCACAAACCCTAAACCCTAAACCCTAAACCCTAAACCCTAAACACTGAACACTGAAACATAAACACTAAATATTGTACACTTAACATTAAACCTTAAACATCAAACACTAAACCCTAAACCCTGTGAAACAAGGGTTTAGGGTTTAGGGTTTACGATATCGAATATTGAAATGATGAACGTCTTTAAAGACAGGGATTAGGGTTTAGGGTTTAGGGTTTACAATAGCGAGTATAGAGACAGCAAACGTCTCGAACTATCCACAGACAGGGATTAGGGTTTAGGGTTTAGGGTTTAGGGTTTACAATAGCGAGTATAGAGACAGCAAACGTCTCGAGCTTGTCCCGAAAGAAAGGCAGCTTCGAGGCGACAGCTAAGACTCCATACAGCAGCAGCAGCAACGAGAATACAAACATAATCGAGAAGAAGACATTCTCATTCATCTGAAATATCGGCCAGTGCAGACGGTTAGCAGCAGAACCTGCAGCAGCAGCAGCAGCAGCAGCAGCAGCAGCAGCAAACGAAATAAAAAGAAATTAAAATAATAATACATCAGAAAAAGCAAAGCAGCAGCAGCAAAAACAACAGAAATAGGAAAAGAAGAAAAAGAAGAAGCAGCAGCAGCAGCAGCAGCAGCATTTGAGGCAGCAGCAGCAGCAAAAATGCAGCAGCACCACTTAACGCAACTAGACAAGCAGCAGCAGCAGCAGCTAAAGCAGCAGAACGAACGCAGCAGCGGCAGCAACAGCAGCAGCAAGAGACAGAAGCAGCAGGAGACAGCAGCAGCGACGCCCATGCAGCAATGCAAGCAGCAGAGGAACAAGCAGCAGCAAGAGCAGCAGCAACAACAGCAGCAGCAACAATACGAGCAAGAGCAGAGCCAGCAGCAGCAGCAGCAGCAGCAGCAACAGCAGCAGCAAGACAGAAGTTGAAGGCATGGATAGCTATTCCTCTGCTTCCATCGCCACCCCTTAGGGTTTAGGGTTTAGGGTTTAGGGTTTAGGGTTTATACCTTGAGAGACAAACAGCCAAGCTACCTGCATTAGCTCAACGAAGAGCATTAACAAACCGACGACAAGCAGACGAAAAGGATAAAGAGAGTTTAAATAGCAGCAATACGCATTTTCATCTTCATCCTTAGGGAAGCGTAGAGGGTTGCGTGCTGCAGCAAACCGTTTCGCAGCAGCAGCAGCAGCAGCAGCTGCTGCTGCGCCTTCAGGATCTGCAGCAGCAGCAGAACGAAGACGTTGTTGCTGCTGCTGCTGCTTGTGCTGCTGAGATGAGTGCGAATGATGGGTTGATTTGGTGTTGCTGTGCTGCTTGTTTGCTGCTGCTGCTGCTGCTGCTGCTGCTGCAATGCCGCTATCCCCTCCTGTGCTGCTGCGCGGAGGGCTCTCGCCGTGCAGCAGCAAAGACACAGAAGGTGCAGCAGCAAAAAAATAGCTGCCTTCACGCTCTGCTTGTGCTCTCTGAGAGAAATCATCGCCGCCCCACAACTCAAAAAACCGCACTAAGTATAAACGAAACCACAAGTGCTGCTGCTGTTGCTGTTGCTGCTGCAGCTGCTGCTGCTGCTGTTGCTGCTGCTGCGGTTGTAGCTGTTACTGCTGCAGCTCTTGCTACTGCTCTGGTTGCTGCTGCAGCGATTGCTGTTTCTGCTGCTGTTGCTGCTTCCCTTCTTGCTACTGCAGCGGCTGCAGCAGCTGCTATTGCTGTTTCTGCGGGTCTTGCTGCTGCTGCTCTTGTTGCTGCTGGTGCTGCTGCTGCTGCTGCGGCTGCCGCTGCTGCTGCTGGTGCTGCTGCTGCTGTGGCTGCTGCTGCTGTATGCGGGTGTAGAAATGCCCAAGAACAGCACCGAATAGCAGCGGCCCCCGTGACAGCTGCTGCTGCTGCTGTTGCAGCAGCAGCTGTTGCTGCTGTCGCTGCTGCTGCTGCTGCTACCGCTGCTGCAGTTGCTACCGCTGCAGCTGCTGCTGCGGTTGCTATACCCTGTGGAGATGCCGCTGCTGCTGCTGCTTCTGCTGCTGCACCTGCTGCGCCTTTTGAATCAGGGTCCAGCCCTTCCGGTCCTGCTGTTGCTGCTGTTGCTGCTGCTGCTGCTGCTGCTGCTGCAACAGCAGCAGGCGGCGAAGCCTATGACGCGCTGCAGCTGTGGAAGGCAGCGTAGTGTTAGGGTTTATGGTTTAGGGTTTAGGGTTTAGGGTTTATAGTCAAGTGTTTGCAGATTAGGGTTTAGCCGTTGCCGCGCAGCTAAGGCGGCGCGAACCGCGCAAACGTGCAGGGTTTAGGGTTTAGGGTTTAGGGTTTAGGGTTTAGGGTTTAGGGTGCTGCTGCTGCTGCTGCTGCTGCAGCAGCAGCAGCTGCCACCAGGTTTTGCTGCTGCTGCTGCTGCATTAGGAAACAACAGCAACAGCAACAGATTATCACAGGGGCCGTCTGCTGTTGCACCTGTTGCTGTTTGCAGCTGCTGCCGTTGCTGCTGCTGCTGCTGCTGCTGCCGCCGCCGCCGCTGCTGCCGTTGCTGCTGCGGCTGCCGGCACAGCTCCTTTCTATTCCTATTGCTGCTGTTGCTGCTACTACGCTGGCTGCTTCTGCTGCAGTTGTGGCTGTTGCTGCTGCTACTCGCATCGCTCGTGCGTGTAGTGTTGACGCTGCTGCAGCAGCAGCAGCCGCTGCTGCTGCGTCAGCAGCTGTGCTGCTCGGTCAGCAGCAACGACTGCTCCTGTTGTTTAGGGTTTAGGGCGTGTCATATTGCTGCTATTCGTTGTGCTGCAGCAGCAGCAGCTGCTGCTGCCGCGCTGCAGCTACCCCACACTCTGGGATCGTCCGATCCCCGGGGTTTGCTGCAGCAAAATGTCGAGGACGTAAGGGCCTGCAGGTGTCTCTGCAGCTACCTGCCATAGCTGCTGTTGCTGCTGCTGTTGCTGCTGCTGCATGCCGTAAAGGCAGCGTAGAACAGATCGGTGCAGCAGCGAGGTTGAGGGGCCCTCTTCGAGCTGCTGCTGCTCCTGCTGCTGTTGCTGCATGTCTTCTAGCGGCAGTAGATCTTCCTGCGAGCTTCCGGTGGCTGCCGCTGCTGCATTTGCTGCTGCTGCTGCGTTTTGCTGCAGCAGCAGCATCCTGCGCATCGCGGCATCAGCTAGCAGCAGCAGCGCAGCAGCAGCACGGAGCAGCTGCAGCGGCAGCACCTTGATTCCCTCTGGTAGCTCTAAGTGGATGTGCAGCAGCACTGCATGCAGCTGCAGCAGAGCAGCAGCAGGAAGCTGCTGCTGTGACAGCAGACGCAGCAGCTGCTGCTTCATTGCCGCCGCTTCGGGTGTCTCTGCAGCTGCAGCAAAGGGGTCAACCCCCTGTTGCTGCTGCTGCTGCAGCAGCAGCAGCAACGGCTGCAGCGCCTCCATTAAACAGTCCCCCGCACCCAGCAAATAGTGCTGCAGCCTCTGCTGCTGCTGCTGCTGCTGCTGCTGTGAGGAAATAGAGGGTAGCTGCTGCAGCGCATGCAGCAGCAGCGCAGCATGCCAGGGTGCTGGAGCAGAGGCCCCTGCTGCAGCTGAGAAGCAGCAATGCAGCAAATGACGAGGCAAGGCCTGAAGCAGCAGCAGCAGCAGCAGCAACAAGAGCAGCAGC